ATTTTCGAAATTTTATAATTTTAATTTCCTACTTGTATATTTCGAAAATCGTAAATGGTGTTAATTCTAGAGCAGAAGACAAAAAGATAAAAACCAGAATAAAAGCAATGAACCATGTTAAATGTCCCTAACCTCATGTCAAACCACTATTATTACTATAATTATTACTATAATCAGATACAAAAGCAAGACCAGTAAAAAAAAATCAAACAAAATAGCTAAAATTCTACTGTACCAAATAATTTTAATAAAGGCCCATAAGAATCTATGAAAACTTTATCATAAATAAAACCAACCAAAAAAGTTCACGAGAGATTAATACCACAAAAACTCCAAACTCAGCCCTCATCTTGAAAACATAGTGAAAATGACTAAATACATAACGGTTATCATGTAAAACAACATCTAAGCTTGACCAAGATCAAATAACACCAGGAAACATAATAAATAAAATAAAAAACAATAAAATCAAATAAACCCATAGTAAATAAAAAAACATAACCCAAAATCCACAGTAACACTGGCTGAAAAACCATCTGCATACCATAAAAGTAGTCAACCATGTAAAAACCTTGGCACCAATAGGAACACCAATAACTATAGTAGCAGAAAAAGCAAAAAAAGCACAGGAATTCTACAGTATATATATATGATGAGCCCAAATTGCATAACCAATTAAAGCAATCTTCAAAATAGCATAAACCATACCCAATAACCAAAAACCTCCTACTTACCAGTCAAATATAATCTCCTCTGCCTAACAATACAGGCAAAATTAAAACCTCTAGGTGACCAAAAAAACCAAAATAAATGCTGATAAGATAATGTATTATCACCACTCCTAGAATCAAGAAAAAAAGTATTAAAATTATGATCTATCAAGAACATAGAACCACCCAGAATAGAACTCCAGAATAATGTAAATTGAAAATAGTCCTAAGCCACACTAAGAATTCTTTGATAAAAAAATTCTTTGATTATTCAATAAATGATTGTAAAAAATCCTCCCTTTGGGCTCATACCCTTTTCTCCGACGACCGCCCGCTTTTGCATTAATTCTCCATATTCATAAAATTGAAATGTAGTTTTGTGTTTATAGAGTATTTATAGCAAATTTGCCCTAAAACTATTTCATCGTAGAAGCGAATAATATGATTTTTGCCTTTCTAGCAAATATTTCAATCGATTTGTGCTGTAGATATTACATTTACATTTAAAACAAATTAACAGAGATTTAATGCCTCGAGGATAGAATAATGAAGATTGAATCATTTTTGAATCATTTAGCTGAAGTCAGTAGAAAAAATTTTAACTTCTTTTTCGCTAAAAAATTTTTTTTAAATTTTTATTAGCTTTTTATTTTATTTATTTATTAATTAAATGTTTTAATCGCTTTCGTATTTTTTAAGTTATTTATTGATATCTTCGATATTTGTAAAGATAATACAAATAAAGCACAACTTGATGATCACAATGATAATTATATTACAATGTATTTGAGAAGTGAATTCAAAGTAGGTGATAAATCCACTTCATACCGATTTCCTCTTTCCCTAATATCTCTTCCTTCACGAAATGTTTACTTATCCGTTATTTGCATACCGATGAGTACATTAAAGGTATTCAAACAATGGTGAGCACATCCTGCATAACGTCGATTGTTCTAGCTACACACAGAACCAAAGACTCCTATTATCAATTCTATTATTAGAATCACCAATAATTTAAACATAAAATAAATCAAATCTCCTTCTTTCACCACTCGGTTCACTTGCACCAATATCACCAATATTGCGCGATGCGATGTCAGTAAGCGATTATTTTTTGATGTAACTATAAGCCATTGTTTTCAACAAATTCCACCTTCAGTGAATTTAATCTATACAGAAGGATTTCTATGAAATATAAAATTCTATAATAAGGAAAAATCATTTTTTTGATCAGAAATTTGTTTCATTTATCAAACATATATTTATATATATAATAAGTGTTTCCCATAAACTTCCTTAGATTAAATATTACTCTAACCTTTCTAACATTCTCTCTCGTTAGCAACTATTTCTTGCTTAACATTTCTTTATCTCATCCTAAGACTTTTTTATCACGCTATTTCTTTCTTTCTATAACATCTATAGCCTTTTTTATTAGCTAATATTTGCGAACAAATGTGATACTTACCCTAACACTCAATTTGCTTTCACCTTTCTTCTTAATCTAACCTTTCTAACACTCTTCTCTGCTCAATAATACTTTTTCGATGAATTTTTTGTCATTAACCTATTCAAAATATCTTTGGTCTTATATATAATTTTGCCTCTTTCTTCATTCGCCCTTCATTCATAGTGGCTTTTTCACTTCAATAATGGAATTTATTTTTTTTTGCTATCGCAAAGCACGGACTTATAAATTTCCGTAAATTTGAGAAATATTGCAAATTTTTTGTTGTTCAACAGAAAAATGTAGTTGCAAATGGATAGGAATGAAGAAGAGACAGAGTCCGAATTTTCTTTTAACTTTCTATGCTTATATGCAATTTAGAAAAAGTTGAAATTTCTTATTTTCCTAGTCTTTGACAAATGATCATTCTTGTTAAACGACGATCAAAAGTGAATATGAATGGATAGGGGAACATTCAGACAACCAGTTTATATTAAAATTATAAGCAATTTTATATTAAAATCATTTAAAAATAATTTTAACAAGCAATATTTATAAATTTGTATGGCGAACAGTAATAATTTTAATAGCGTAAATTTAGTCCTCTTAAACTGGAACTTTATTCGGAAAAAACAACTTTTTACAAATAGAATAACTCGTTTACTTCCACAATGATATTTTAAAAATTTCGAAAAAAGGGTAATTCTTGCACAGCGATTAACAGCAAAAATATTCCACCAAGTTAACTGAAATAAAATAATAACAATAACACAATTCTTCCAAAATATTATATAAGAGAATGAATCTGCCGCAAGGCATCGCGCAAACTGTACTAATTCCAACCTAGAAAAGTCTAAACTAAAAATAAAATCACCATAAAACAACATACATGAAATGCTAATAACAACAAAAAACATAACAAAATAACACCAAACCAATAAATATAAACATCCAACTAAACAACCCAAACCAACTTTCCATATCATCATTCCATATAAAAACCAAAAACAACAAAAAACAACAAAACAGCATAACTAAATACAGATCTATAACTACTAACAATAAATCCCCTCAAAGATATGATAACTCCTAAACCAAAAATAACAAACATTAACATTATAATAAAAAATTGAACACCAAAAGATCCACAAATAATACCTAAACTATCAAAACCATATTCAAAAGACCTCAATATAAAGACATGTAATGCAACCTTAACAAACAATAAGAAAACCAGCAAATCAAATGAACAAAAACAAAAACACTCAAAATGATTTCAGTTACAAAATTTCAAACTAAAAGATATTTTCTTTCGTACTCTAACTAAACAAAAAAACTAATTAAACCTCTCTATCCTACGGAGAATTAAACTAATATCACATATCACGTTTGATTAAATCAACGGAGGAACAATCTACAAAATATAAAATTCTACACCTGAACCAACCGAGATACCATCATCGGTATAGAACGTGCACAAAATAAGAACTTACACGGACAAAATTTCTTGCCAACTCTGGAGTAATTAATAAAATTATAAATAAATCACATAATAATTTACCCCATGCAAAATAAAAAATCTTGACACTGCCAAAACAATTTCCAAAGATTCATTTTTATATAATTAGATAATTAATTTAAAATATATATATATATATAATTACACTCCAAAACCACATTCATACCAGAATGCATTAAAAAAACAATGACTTTGCTAACTAATTGTCCTCATCCTAAGATTACCATCCACCTACTAGCATCGAGCAGAAGCCAATCAAATTCAAAGATCTAAGTATGAATGTATCTAAAAAACATTTAGGATTTAGAATTTAGGATTTTCACTGAGTTCTCAATAGGTTGATTTCTCAATAGATTAAATTTAAATGAACAACATAAAAATATCTACGAAATCATTGATTATAAATAAATACTTATCAGAAATACAAAAAAAAATTACTAAACAAAAAACCAAACATTTCTGACATCAACAAATAAAAAAGATCACAAAAAACCTAAAAGCCAAGAGCAAAAGAAAGAGATATCCAAAAGGAAGAAATGTCGGATCCAAGGATGAATAAAAAATAAATTTATGACACCTATAAAAATCCAATTTCAAATTCCTATATTCTATTAATAGAATACTAAAAAAACAAAAAATATAGCTTCAAATATATTGCACCGCAAACTACAAAGCTAACTACCAGCAATACATTTAATAAAATTCAGTAAATTTTTAGTAGACATACAAGGCAAAAAACTATGATAAGCCCCACAAATCTCAGAGCATTGACTTAATAAAAAATAATTTTCATGAAAAATACATGGTATACGAGAAATAGCACCTACAACAGCATCCATCACCCTTAAAATACTAAAATAAAGCAGCAACTATCCGCATCCAACGAACGTAGATCCTCCAGCAATACATTCTCACTAGAAAGCATATATGTGTATGTGCCAAAACAATTTTTCCAAAATACCATTATTACTATAAGCAGAAAAAAAAGAAAAAAAAAGAATCAAACAAAATAGCTAAAAATACTATAGCACCAAATAATTTTAATATAGACCCATAAGAGTTTATAAAAATTTTATCATAAATTTTATCATAAAATTTTATATATAACCAGTCAAAAAGTCGATCAGAGAATGATACCACAAAAACACCAAAATCAGCTCTCATTCTTTAAAACATAATGATAATGACTACATAACAATATCATGGAAAACAAAATTAGAATTAGATAAAAATAACAGCGGTAAAACCACCCATAGTAAATAAAAACCCAAAGAAAGTCAATAACAAAAACAGTGCAAACAAATAAAGAAAAACTATCCAAAGAAATAGAAGTTCTACGCATATTCTTAACAATAACCATAAAGTTAATACCACCCAAAATAGAAGTAACTCCAGAATAATGTAAACTGAAGAGAGGCCTAAGCCGCACTAAATAAAAAATTCAATTCCTAAATTTCTTTATTCTGACGATCGCTCCCATTTGCAATTATTCTCTAAATTCATAAAATTGAGATGTAGCCTCGTATTTGTAAAGTATAGTATTTAAAGCATATTTGCCCTGGAGCTATTTCATCGTACAAGCGAATGATATCATTTTTGCCCTTCTAGCAAATATTTCAATCGATTTATGCTGTAAATATTACATTTAATTATTACATTTAATTAACTATAATTTAATGCTTCGAGGTAATATAATGAAGATTGCATCGTTTAGCTACAAACAATAGAAAAAAAATTTTATTTTATGCAAAAAATATTTTTTAAATTTTTATTGGCTTATTCTTACTTCATTTATTTATTTGAATTTTTTTATTGATATCTACAATATTTTTAAAAGGTAATATTAATAAAGAACAAGTTTATAATCACAGCCAAGAAACTGTGTGATTTATGATGATTAAACTGCAATGTACTTGAGAAGTGAATTAAAGTGCACTTCAGAGAAGGTGATTAATCCACTTCATACAGATTTTCTCTTTCCCTAACATCTCTTCCTTCACGAAATGTTCACATATCGGTTATTTACATACTGCTGAATGAGTATATTAAGAGTTTTCAAACAGTGGTGAGCGCCTCCTGCATAACGATCGCTTTGGCCACATATACAATAAGAGGCTCCGATAACTCCTATTATTATTACCAATAATTTATCACCAACAATTTGTACATTGTCGTTCTATAAAATAGCGAATCTCCTCCTTCCACTACTCGGTTTACCAATATCCAATATATAGTCTCCAATAACAAAAATACTGCGCGATACGATATCATCTTTGAAGTAACAGTGAGCCATTGTTTTCAACAATTTCCGCCTTCAGTGGGTTTAATCTATGCAGAAGGATGAAATATAAAATTCAGTAATAATGAAAAATCATTTTTATGATTACAAATTTCATTTCGTTTCATTTATCAGATATATATTTATGTTTGTAATAAGTGTTTCCCATAAATTTCCTTAGAAAGATTAAACATTACCCTAACATCTTTCATGCTCTTCAAGTTTTCACGCTCTTTTCTTACTCTAACCTTTCTAACAGTCTCTTTATCTGCTACTCTCTTTCTTACTCTGACATTTCTAACAGTCTCTTTAGTTGCTACTCTCTTTCTTACTCTAACCTTTCTAACACTCTTCTCTGCTCAATAACATTTTTTAATGAATTTTTTGCCATTAAACTATCTCTTGGCATTTTTGGACTTATATATAATTTCGCCTCTTTCTTCATTCTTTCCTTCTCTCATTCATTCGCCGTTGGTTCATAGTGGCTTTTTCATTTCAATTTTTTCTCCTATTGCAAAGCACGAACTTAAAAATTTCCATAAATTTGGGAAAATTTGCAAATTTATTGTTCAACGGCAGAGTTTAGGTGCGAATGGATGAAGAAGAGATAGAATTCGAATTTCCTTTTAGCATTCTATACTTTTATGCAATTTTGAAAAAATTAAAATTTCTAAGGTACGTAAGGTTTTAACAGGTTAGGTTTTTAGATATTTTGCGCATTGTCAAATGTGACAATTTGTTATTTTAACTAGGTGTGCGATGGAATTTTCTTATTCTTTGACAAATGATCATTCCTGTTAAACGATCAAAAGTGAATATGAATGGATAGGGGAACATTTCAGCAACCAGTTTGGATTACACTTGCATACGCCATACGCCTATCTTAGCCTACAAGTATGAGTACGTACATACCTAAAGATTTTCGTTAGCTTGGAGGGTCAACGGGTTTTTAAATTCTGCATTGCTTTTTGGTTTGTCTTACTTTTTGATAATCTTTCATGGATTAGATTAACCACTTTTCGACAGGGAGCTTCAGCTTTTTTGTATTGGAAATACGAGTGGATGGATAGCCAGTAGTCAGGTTTTTGAAACACTTTTAACGCTTTTGCGCTTTATTGCGCTTGCGCTTAACGATTATTTATGCTTTTTTTTCCTAGGCGTATTATTCTAAACTCGCGGCTCAGAGAGGATTTCTTCAATTATGCATATTTATCACGCATAATTATCTGTCATATTTTTAGGAATTTGACAATTCACGCGAGCTTGGCAAATATTATGTGAAAAATACTATAATGATAGATATGTTTTTGATTTGATTTGATGTTTTGATTTGATCTTCTCTTATGGGCTCTTGGCAACGTGTATTTAAGTAGCAAATTAAAAATTATTACCCATTTTAAATTATTATTACCCATTTCTAATTTTTTAAAATTAGTTACCATGTTAAATGCGATGGTATTTCCCTGTGCATTAAAGACGAAAAAAAACTAAATTAGAGAACTAAATTAGAATTAAATCATAAAATCCGTTTAGTACACTCATATGGTGCAGTAAAGCATCTAATATTGAACAAATCATCGAAGCATTATCAAGAAAATGTCGCTTAAATGGAACGACAAAATAGCGAGAGAATTCGTCATATTAGCGACAATAAAAATATAGCAGTTTTATGAAGTTTAATGCTTTTTTTTATAATTCTTTCGAATTGAAATTTGAAAAAATTGGAAAAGAAATTATAAAAGTAATGAAGAGAAAAGTACGGCAAAAAAACTGTTCTTATATTCTTTATTATTACTATTCTTTATTATTCATAAATTATTTATTGTTGTGTATTTAATTATTTATTTCTTTTCACTTTTTAAATTTCTAAAAGTGGTTTTGGAGAAATATTTTTAATTTTTTTAATTTAATAGTTATTTTAATAGTTATTTTTTTAATAGTTTAATAATTTTAATAATTTTTGTTTATTTTATTTGTTTTTTTATTTTACTGTTTATTTTTTGTTTTTGTTTATTTTTAAGTATGTTCAAGAATAGTTTGGTTTTACTAAATTTATTTCTCACAAACTGATAAAATAGAGCAGTTTGATAAATTTTATCACTTGAATATGAAGATGAATTCCGCTAAATTTATAATTATCAATAAAAATGATATTTTCAAAGGTAGTTCTTGCGCAACGTGAAAATAACACATTTGTTGCTAAATATTGCTCCATTCCCTTCTAAATCCTCTATTGCAGTAGCCTAAATGTTTATATTCATATTCCAAAAGGTTGGCAATTAAATGAGCAGCATTCATAATTTTATACGGTCAACAGTACTAATTTTAATAGTGTAAATTTAATCCTTGTGAAGTGAAATTTTATTCGGAAAAAACAACGTTGTACAAATACAACAACTCATTTACTTCCAAAATGATATTTATAAAAATTTCGAAAAATATGTAATTTTTGCATAGTGAATAACAGCAAAAATATTCCACCAAAAAGTTAAATGAAATAAAATAATAACAACAATACAATTCATGTAAAAATATAAGGGAATATAGGGGAATGAATCTGCCACAAGGCATCCTTTTATCGCGCAAACTGTATTAATTCTAACTTAGGAAAGTCTAAACTAAAAATAAAATCACAAAACAACATACACGAAATACTTATAACAACAAAAATAATAACAAAAAAAGAACAAACCAGTAAATATAAATATCCAAACTAAACAACTCAAACCAACGTTCTATACGATCACTCTAAATAAAAACCAAAAAAAAAGATATTAAAAGAAAATAATAAAAATTAAAATAATAATAATAAAAAAATAATAAAGTATAAGCAAACAAAGACGCATAACCACTAACTATAAATCCCTCAAAAACATAATAACCTCTAAATCAAAAATAACAAACATCAACATCATAATAAAAAAATGTACACTAAAAGACCTACAAATAAAACCTAAACTATTAAAACCACATTCAAAAGATCTTAACTTAAAGACATGTAACCTTAACAAACAATAAGAAAACCAGCAAATCAAATGAATACACTCAAAATGATTTCAGTTACAAAATTTCAAACTAAAAGATATTTTCTTTCGTACTCTAACTAAACAAAAAAACTAAGTAAACCTCTCTATCCTACGAAGAATTAAACTAATATCACATATCACGTTTGATTAAATCAACGGAGGAACAATCTACAAAAAATATAAAAATCTACACCTGAACCAACCGAGATACCATCATCGATATAGAACGTGCACAAAATAAGAACTTACACGGACAAAATTTCCTGCTAACTCTGGAGTAATTAATAAAATTATAAATAAATCACATAATAATTTACCCCATGCAAAATAAAAAATCTTGACACTGCCAAAACAATTTCCAAAGATTCATCTTTGTATAATTAGATAATTAATTTAAAAAGTATATATATAATTACACTCCAAAACCACATTCATACCAGAATCCATTAAAAAAACAAATGACTTTGCTAACTAATTGTCCTCATCCTAAGATAACCATCCACCTACTAGCATCGAGCAGAGGCCAATCAAATTCAAAGGCTTATCTAAAGAAACACTTAGGATTTAGAATGTTATCACTCAGTTCTCAATAGACAATAGATTGCTTTCTCAATAGATTTTAAATTTATATGAACAACATAAAAATTCCAATAAAAACTTAAGAGAAATACAAAAAAAATTCACCAAACAAAAAACCAAAACCAAACATTTCTAACATCAACAAATAAAAAAGATCACAAATCCTAAAAGCCAAGAGCAAAAGAAATAAGCACTGACTATAATAAAAATTAATTTCTATGAAAAATACATGGTATACGAGAAATAGCACTTACAACAGCATCCATCACCCTTAGTTGACATACAAGGCAAAGTCCAAGAATGAATAAAATAAATAAATAAATAAATGAATAAAACGAAAAAATTCTTGCGCAAAAGTTTTAGCTTTCAATTAACAAAAAAGTTAACAGTTAAAAAGTATGCAGATGTTTTTAATATGAATTCAACTAACATGAAAAATAATTCAATTTAAATTTACAAAAAGTTTGCAAAATTCAGTTGACAGCGTTTAAGGGCTTTTGTTTTCCTGGAATGCTATTACTTCTATTCGTATATATTTCGAATTTGCTGTAGTAGTAAGCCATTGTTGTCAACAAATTCAATGATGATAATATATATCTATACAGAAAGATTTCTGTGAAATACAAAATTTTGTAATAATGAAAAATCATTTTCATGATTACAAAATAATTTTGTTTCATTTATCAGACATATATTTACATTATATATTACATATATTTATATATATAATAAGTGCTTCCTATAAACCTCCTTAGAAAGATTAAACATTACTCTAACATCTTTTAGTTTTCTCGCTCTTTTTTACTCTAACCTTTCTAGCAACCTCTCTAGCTAGTAACTATTTCTTGCTTAACATTTCTTTATCTTATCCTAAGACTTATTTTCTACCATACTATCTCTTTTTTTCTATAACATCTATAGCCTCTTCTATTAGCTAATATTTTCAAACAAACGTGACACTTACCCTAACACTTATTTGCGTTCATCTTCTTTCTTATTCTAATCTTCCTAGCAATCTCCTTGACTTTTGCGCTCTTTCCTACTCTAACCTCTCCAACAATCTCTTTAGATGTTACGCTTTCTTACTCTAATCTTTCTAACAATCTCAATAGATGTTACACTCTTTCTTACTCTAACACTCTCTTCTGCTAGCTATTTTTCGCCAAACGTTACTCTGACATTTTTTAGCTTTTGCACTCCTTCTTAATGTAGCTTATCTAACACTCTCCTCTGCTCAGTAAAATTTTTTCTGTAATTTTTTTGTCATTGATCTATTTTTAGGCGTAGCTTTTTGGCATTCTTGGTCTTATGTATAATTTCGCCTTTTTCTTTCTTCCTTCCTTCTCTTTTTCATTCGACATTCATTCATAGTGTCTTTTTCACTTCAATAATGGACTAGGAGTGCGGTAAAGCATCTAATATTAAGCAAATTATCGAAGCATTATCATAAAAATGTCGCTTTAATGGAGCGACAAAATAGCGATGATGCGAATGGGAATCGACATATTAGCGACAGCAAACATATGGCAGTTTTATGAAGTTTAATGCTTTTTATTGTAATTTTTCGAAATTTGAAAAAATGGGAAAAGAAATAATGAAAGTAATGAAGCGAAAAACGTGGCACCTGTTCTTATATTCTTTATTATTATTATTCTTTATCATTCATAAATTATTTATTGTTGTGTATTTAATTATTTATTTCTTTTCACTTTTTAAACTTTTAAAAGTGGTTTTGATATTATTAATATTTTTTTATTTTTATTTTATTTTAGAAATATTATTAATATTTTTTTAAATTAATAGTTGTCGCCTTTTGGGAGATTTTCAACTTTTTCTTTCTTTCTTATTCTGACCATTCTAACAGTCGCATTGGTTGTTACGCTGTTTCCTACTCTAACCTACCTAGCGGTCTCTTTTGCTTGCTGCTGTCTTTGCCTAATGCTTTCTAATGTTTATTTTTGTCACACTGTTTTTTTCTATAACATTTATAGCTTTTTTTGCTAGTATTATTTTCCTTTACTTTTTTTCTTACTATTATATTTATTCGTTTTGTCGATGAAATACAGAAATTAAAATATTCATTTTCGAATTTTTTCTTTATTTTTATTTCCTACTTGTATATTTCGAAAATCATAACTGTAAATGGTGTTAATTCTGGAACAGAAGACAAAAAGATAAAAACCAGAATAAGAGCAATGAACCATGTTAAATATCCCTAACCTCATGTCGAACCACTATTATTACTATAATTATTACTATAATCAGATACAAAAGCACGACCAGAAAAAAAAAGAATCAAACAAAACAGCTAAAAATGCTACAGTACCAAATAA